TTGAAAGTTGCTTGACTATCTGAAGATGCCATAGATTCTTCAATAAATTAATTTTATAAACATATATTTTCATGAAAAATCCAACGATCGAAAATAATATTCCAACAAACATTAATGCGCGAATTAGTAAAAACGGGCAATGGTTGCCAGTGGATGGTGGTCGGAGGGTTGTGTCAATCAAGACGGGAAAGATGATAAGTAATTGTTTAATTAGTACATAATTTGTGTCATGCACGAGACAGAAATATTAAAATAAGTTATTTTTACATGCTCTGTCCGTTTAAATTTATAAAGCAATAGGGTTATCATTCATTTTTCACATCTTTTAATCAACGTTAAATCTAAAAAACAATAAGTTTATAATTTATTTTCTACTTCTTTTAATCAGCGTTGTTTTTTTAGCTAGAATATTAAATATGAGCATGTTAGGACTATCTTGTAAGATATTTAATATATTTTCTCACTAACACATTTAGAGATGTTAAACGGTCTTTGGCCTGACGGGCCGACCCGTTTAGCCCGAAAAAAAAAAGGGTTAGGTCTTTTTTTTAGTAGCTCGTTTAAATCATGGCTTTTTAGGCTCGGACCGTTTAGACCGAAGCCCGATAGGGCTAGCCCGAAGCCCGTTAGGACTAGCCCGTTTAACTTGTATATTACAATTTTACTATTCTACTTCATATGTAACTATGAGATGTAGCCGGTTATTATGCTTTTGAAATATAATTGTTAACAATTTCGTTATTCTACTTCATACCAAATATTTAAGCCAATTAGAACGGTTAATTGAAAACAAATGAGACAAACACCTAACACATAGAACATAGTGATAGAATATAAATTCAGCAGTAAGATACAATATCGTGAAAATTTCCAATGCGTACAAAAATAAGTAGTAAAATGGTATTTATACGCAATAGTTCGAACATTTTTTTTTCTTTTGAGAAAAACATGTCACTTAAGAGTTTGTAACGAGTGTTCATACATGAAGTGTAAATGTATATATATATAGCGGTAATTACTAAATAGTCGTTGAAAAAAATCATGAACTCGCCGTTGTATTTTTATTTATATGTTTTTTTATATATTATTATTATTATTATTATTATTATTATTATTATTATTATTATTATTATTATTATTATTATTATAGCCCGTTTAGCCCGAAGCCCGCTAGGGTTAGGTTTAGGTCTTTTTATTGGTAGCCCGTTTAAATCCGAGCTTTTTGAGCCCGGACCGTTTAGCCCGAAGCCCGCTAGGGCTAACCCGAAACCGCCAGGGCTAACCCGTTTAACATCTCTAAACACATTTATACTAATATAAATTTGATTTTAGTATATATATATTTATTTCTTGATATAAGAGAAAATAACAGTTTACTTATTCTTGTTCACCATATAATAGTTAATTATTACTTTATTACAAACTTAGTTGTCATAATGTCATTATTATTTATAAAAGTTATAGAAATTGTAAGTCTTCTATTCTTTTTATTTTATTTAATGAAAAATATTTAATACAAGTTAGTATTATTTATTTATATAATCAATTTAAAATATCTAAATATATTTAAAATTAAATAGTGTATAAATATTTTACAAAATGTACACACGTGTTTGTTTTAATAATTTAACTTTGTATACTAATTAAAAAAATTTGATTTAGCAGATGCCAAAAACTAAATCCCTTCTATACTCAAGATTATTCTAATTTTATTTATTAAGAATTTATAGTTTTTTTAGCATACTTTGTGATGAAAATATATTTTACAAGAATTTTATTATAGAAAGAAATCAAAATAAGAAAAGTAAAAAAAAATAATCATGTTTGCCAATAATATATAAATAAATAAACAGTTAATATATTTCAATTTAAATTTTTGACCATTGGTAAAACTATTTATTGTATCTGGTTATTATCTATTAAATGGTAAATTATATTAATTTGAAGAATAATTTATTTTTTATATATAACAAAATAAAGCTTAAGAAATAATTATATTGGCAAGATTAATTCACCAACTTGATTTCACCTAATTAATTGGAAGAAAAAATTCTACTTAACCTGTTACAGTTTTCTTTAAATATTTTTAGATAAAAAGTGAATATTTGTGAAAAAATTATTATTATGGTTATAACTTAAAATGCGTTGTAAAATTTATTTTGACCAAAATATTTTCAACAAGAATTACGGAAAATCAATCTTTTAATTTATTATAATGGATATCAATAAAATTATTGAATATATTAATATTATTATTTAAGAAATAATATTTTTGATCATATCTGATTTGATTTTATTCGAAAATGTGTATATGGAAGCAATTAATGTATATATTTAATAAGTTTTCAAAAATAAAAAAAAATGTACGCATTAAATACTCCCAAAATGTTTTACTACTAATTATAGTAAATGTTTATTCTTATTAATATATATATATATATATATA